CCCTAAATATCTAGAAGAAGTCACTCTGTTGATCCCAAAAAGCATTCTACAGATTTGACTCTGAGTTCCAATGGGAGTGTTTTTAGAGAACATGATGGATGATTTAGCAAAATTAACAGCTTGGCCAGATTCAAAACCATATTGAGCAAGGATATCACAAATAAATTGGGCATGAAATAAATCAGCTTTGCAGAAAAAGATGGAATCATCTGCAAAAAATAGATGACTCACTATAGGAGCATGCCTACCTATTTTCAAACCAGTGAAAAGCCTTGATCTACAAGCTTGGTTAATGAGATTGGAGAGAGCTTCTGAGACAAGGATAAAGAGGTAAGGTGACAGTGGATCACCTTGTCTCAATCCCCTTGTGGGTTGGATATAACCAAGGACAGATCCATTTAAATTAAAGAATAGGAAGCAGTGCACACACAAGCCAGAATTCAAGACAAGAAAGTTTCACAAAATCCCATTTTTCTACACACTTTAGCAAGAAGGCTCATTCCACTCTATCATAGGCTTTTGCCATGTCAAGTTTGATAGCCATAAAGTTCTATTTACCTTTTCTTTTGCTATTCAAAAAATGCACACATTCATTGGCTATAATCACATTATCAAGTATTTGCCTACCAGGAACAAATGCAGATTGAGAATAAGAAATGCATTGAGGCAAAACCTTTTTCAATCTATTAGCAACAATTTTGGCAATCAACTTATAAATAACAGAGCATAAACTGATAGGTCTAAAATCCATAACTCTTGTGGGATTTCTTTTTAGGAATAAGAGTTATTACAGCATGATTAAGACATCTTGGCATTCTACCAGTATCAAAAAAGTTATGGACAACAAGACAGACATGAAATTTTATAGTGGGCCAGGTTTTTTAAAAAAACAAGCTGTAAATTCATCCTTACCAGGAGCTTTATCATGGCCTATGTCAAAAAGAGCACTCTCAATCTCCTCATCATCCAGAGTTCTAATCAAATTAGCATTCATCTCACAAGTAATGTTTCTGGAAATACCATATAAGCTGCAACTACTATCAAGAGGTTGGGAATATTGGAAAAGTTTTTCAAAGTAATCAACAATTTCTGTCAAAACTTCCCCTTCATTGTAACACCTAGTCCCATCAGCTTTAACAATACTATTGAGGTTATTGAGCTTTCTTCTCTGTCTAACACTAGCATGAAAGAATTTGGAGTTTCTGTCACCTTGCTTAAGCCAGAGAACCCTGGCTTTCTGTTTCCAGAAAAGCTCCTCACTCTCATAAGCTAGTTGGGACTCTAGTTTGCATCTACTCCATTCACCCCAGTCCCTGTCCCCCTTGTTTTCTAAGCTGATCCAGCTTAACCTTACACTCATTAATAATAGACCTAGCATTCAATCCATTACCCTTCTTCCAATTTAATATAACCTTTCTAACATTTTTCAATCTCTGCTGAATACAAAAGAGGGCATGACCGGACACATCTAAATTCCAAGCTGAAGACACAGTGTCCTGAAAGCCTGCCATGTTAACCCACCTAATATCAAAGACAAACCTATTTTTAAAGGACTCACAGCAAGGATTACAATGCAATAACAACATGGAATGATCTGATGAACTCACAGAGAGGTGAGAGATCTGAGAATGAGGAAAATGAGTGAACCAACTATGGGAGAAGAGAAACCTGTCCAGTTTCTCCTTAATGGCCTTATCACCTTTTATGCTGTTAGTCCAGGTGTAAGGATGCCCAAGCACATTGGTTTCAACCACTCCCAAAGTAACAATCAAATTCCTAAATCAGTGAAACTGGCTTAATCTCTTTTAAGCCCGACAGATTTTTCAGAGTGATCCACAATGTCATTAAAGTCCCCACACAAGAACCAAGAATCCCCCAGTATAAGATATGCCTAACTAAGACCTTCCACTGAAGCTTTATGATCTCATTATCAGTACTAGCATATATGAAAATACCCCAAAACACTTCAGAGTGACCAGAAAAGGAAAACTTAAATTCTAAACAGAACTCAGAGGGGATGACCTGATGGATGGAGATCCTCTCTTACCACCAAACAAACAACCCTCCTTTAAAACCAACTGTTTTAGCATAAACCAGTTATCACCAAGCTTAAGCTTTTTACACATAGACTCTACAAATTTTTGTTTTTTTTTTTGTTTTTTGTTTTTTGTTTCAGATAAAAAGCAAAATCAGGGAGATGGATCCTTAAGGAATCCTTGAACTAGGAAATTGTAGAGGGTCCTCCCAAACCTCTACAATTCCACACCAGAACCTTCATTGGGCACCTTGGGGCCAGTTATGGCTAGTTTTCTCCACCAATTCAGCATTTGACAACTCATTAAGTTTCAATTTTTTATTCAGAACAAGAACATTATCAGAGGAGTCAGCATCCTGTGTCAACACCTCATGAGTTCTCTTGTTTTGACTCAAGCCAGGTTCATTCCTGGAGGCCTCAGCAACATCAATGATCATTTGCTCTGAGTTCTTCTTAGGACATCTAGTCCTTTTCCTATGAACAATGTTTCTACCAGAAACTAAAGGTTGGACATTCACTTCCACAAGATTATCCTCAATATTAACTGAAGGATCATTGTTAGGAATCAGTTCCTTTGGGGATGAAGGAACATTTTCCTGAATTCCCCTATTTTCAACCAAGATGATAACATCTATATCATTAGCCTTACCTTTCCCTTTGTCAGAGGTACTCAGAAAGAGGTGGTTGAATGGGCTCACCATGGGGGTAGCCACATGAGCATCAGAGCTAGTCTGACTTCCCCTATTTTGACTCACTGGGCTCCTATAACTACTAGATGATGAACTGTTAGACCTCAACCAATCACCAATTTGACCCAAGCTCAGCTTTTTTAGTTTAACATCCTCAGTCTTTTGGTACAATTCTTATCTGAGTGGCCAATTATCCCACAGTAAAAACAGAAAGTTTGGATGTTTTCATATTTAAAGTCCACCCTTTTGTTGTCCTCCCCCACTTTTATATGTGTTCCTCTCAGTAAAGGTTCTGAGAGAGGGATTTCAACCAAAACTTTCAAAATTTGACCATACAGATTTCCCATGCCTGGAACTTGGACACTTAAAGCTTGACCTATGATGTTACCCAGTTTTAGCCCTATTTCAACAGAGATTCAGTGCAAAGGCAAGTTGTGTACTTGAACCCATATTTTAATTTTCTCATCTTCTTCATTGAACTCATTGTTCTCAGAATTCCACAATTTCAGCAATAAATATTGCCCATCGAAAGACCAGGATTTACCAGCTAAATTCTATCTCCATCTAGTTCAGATTGAAATAAAATTTGAAAGCAGCTATTGCCTAAATTACGGATTGAGAAAGGTTGTTTAGTGATCCATATATTACCAAAAGTAGTTTTCAGACCACTAAAATTAACTTTTCTCTCCCTATAAATTTTCCCATCAGGCTTAACTGACATTCTTTAAAACCAAGAGCAATTTCTTCATTAGATAACAGTAAGCCATGTTCTTCTTTATCAGAGAGTTTAAACTTATGCAGCTTATCAGATATTTCCTGATCCATCACTAAGCCCTAAATCAATTCAAACAGAAGCAGCACACAAAAGTTTCACAGGCAAGTCGCAACCAAAGCCACAATCAAACAATTCGCACAATAAAGTAGATTAATAACTGAAATTGCAATTAAGGCACCCATAAAAACTAAATCTTCGGAAATTAACCAGAACCTTAAGCATCAAACACAAAAGATTGAGTGGAATGAGACGATGCTACTAAACACAAAAATCCCAAACTCTTTTCGAACTTACCATGAGTGCACAGCTACCGTGAAACCAACTGGAACTCCTAGTCTAGGTCTGAAAAGAAAGCAATGCAAACGGCAAAGAATCAAAGGGATCTGAGGATAAGGGAGTAATAAACCACTACGAAAAGCTCGGTACACAACAGAGAAGAGAACGATTGGAACTCAGAAGAACAAATCCTATAGAAGGAACTAAAACTCTAGCAAAGAGAAAAACCTAGAAAAGGGACTGGATATGTAACATCCACATTTTTTAATTGACTTGCATTGGATTGGGTGAAGATTTATTTTAGTATATCCCAAATTATCGAAAATCTCTTTCAAAATTAATTGGTGGAACCGATCAAAATCAAATCTAAAGTTATTCTCGCATCTCTCCAAAAATCGGATCCCAACTATTTCTCGCATTTCTCCAAAAATCGCATTTCTAATTTTTTTTTTATTTAAAAAGATCTAGAAATCATAACTGAAAAGTATTTTAGAATTATTAAAAAGTGATTTAAAATAAGTTCTCACAGTGTCCTAAAAATGCTTAGTATATTTTAAATATAAATAATTAACAATTTGATAATACAAATTCTTTTATTATGAATAAAAATATAAAATAAAAAGATAATAACATTTTAATTAACTGAAAATAATCTATTAAAATAAAAAAATAATTACCATTTTGTTATGAACCGACCCAGAACTGCTGTTTCATTGAATCGACATGTGCATATGTTCGGGCCAATTTAGGTTCCTCCGAATCCCGGCTCTGAGCCGACGATTCCGACCCAAAACCAGCCTATAATCGGGGTTTGACCATGCCTACTCCCAATTACCTTTTTCATACATTTACATAACCAACTTTAATGATTTTATTTAAATATAATTTTTGTACAAAATTAAAATCTCAAACAAACTTAACACAACCAATTTTACAAAATTAACTATGATTAATTAAAAAAAACAAATCAAAAACCAAAATATTCAATCACAAATTGTATCCAACCACCCTTAAATTTTCGAATCTTATTAAATTAGAAATTCTAGAATTACAAGTGAAGAATTTTCGCGATCTTGAAGTAAAGAAAATTTCAAACTGGACCAGATGAAGAAATTTCAACGATCACGCGCTTTTTAAGATTCCTTGCAAGTTGCACCAAAACTTTGGTGCAAAGAAAAGGCGAGACCTTTGAATTCAAGGATTCAATTAGCACATTCGGTTATCAATGGCGACGATATACTGCTGCAGAGAGTGCGGCGCCAATCTCAACCTACAAGCAGCGCACCTCTTCCCGTCGGATTTCTACTTCGAGGCCGGCAACAAAAACACCCTCTCCTTCTCCGCCGTCGACTCGTCCAAGTTCAGGTTCAAGACAGAGGACAAAATCAGGCCCTTTTTCGAGACCGTCAATTATTGGGGCATTCAGAGGAAAAGGACCAAGATCAAGTGCAATAGCTGCGGTAAGCTGGTGGGTTACATCTACGACGACGGGCCGCCGCTCACTAATAGTATTGGGCAGTTCGGGTTCGGGCCGAGTCAGGCTGTGCCGAGAAACCCTAGGTATAGGTTCAAGGAAAAGGCTTTGTCTCTCAGTTCTCAGACTTGATCGATTTTGATTACTTTCTGGATGGTTTTTTTTTTTTTTTTTTT